AACCACACATGGCAGGGCTACACAACTGGATTGCGAACTGGCTTTCCTAACTGAGGCCTCATCCTGCCCGCAAAGCGCACCAGGCAAGGGCCACAGGTAAGCCACTGCTACAGGAGGAGAAGGTTGCTGTCTTCACGCTGCCTTGTCTTGTGAGTCCTGCACATCATCTCTGCTGCAAACAGGATATTGGAGTTGATGGTCTCTTTTGTCAGACCCAGCAGGGCTGCCTTGATGACCAGAGATCTGTCTTAATCTTCTTTGCTCTGTTCCAGACATGCCGTGCGTGTTGGCTAAAAAATGGATGCTGTTGGCCGGCAGTGCGAAACATTCCCCCCCCCCGACTATGTGCAAGTAACCAAAGCAAGTTCTCAAATGCATCAACATTAGTCAGTGTTCCCTCGCCGCCCCGTTCCAGAAATCAATTAGTTAGCAGCTTTTGACTCGCAGCAAGCTGCAAAGTATCCGATAAATCTGAGCCTTGTCATTATCGGTGCTCCGAAAACACAGCCGGAATGTTTTGCAGCTTAACCAAGAGAGAAGAGCAGTGAGCCTTTTATGTTACCCAGAATCGCTTCCCACATCCAAACACCCCCAGAGGGCAGCTGTTCTTTCCATCCCCGCTCTTGTGCTAATCTCAGGGAGGTGTGATGTGATGATTCTCAAGAAAACCAGTGCAGGGTTCAGAGCCCTTAGCCACAACAGTGAGGGCACAGTCAAGGTCTGCTGTGATGTCCCATAGCAGGGTTGGGGGTGTGACTTACAGGGCAATGGCTATGGGGCTTGGGAGATAAATGCTTCTGTTCTCTGGTGGGGCAGTGGGGGGAGTTACAGCGACCTGATCAAATTCTCCTTTAGTCTCAGTCACTGCTGCGATAGAACGCAAGTAATTGCAGAAAGCTAGGGAGAAAGTAGTGATGTATGGAAGTGAGACTGGACCATAAAGAAGGCTGATTGCCAAAGAATTGATGCTTTTGAATTATGGTGCTGGAGGAGACTCTGGAGAGTCCCATGGACTGCAAGAAGATCAAACCTCTCCATTCTGAAGGAAATCAGCCCTGAGTGCTCACTGGAAGGACAGATCCTGAAGCTGAGGCTCCAGTACTTTGGCTACCTCATGAGAAGAGAAGACTCCCTGGAAAAGACCCTGATGTTGGGAAAGATGGAGGGCACAAGGAGAAGGGGACGACAGAGGACGAGATGGGTGGATAGTGTCTTCGAAGCTACCAGCATGAGTTTGACCAAACTGCGAGAGGCAGTGGAAGACAGGGGTGCCTGGCGTGCTCTGGTCCAGGGGGTCACGAAGAGTCGGACGTGACTAAACGACTAAACAACAACAACAAGGGAGAAAGGAAGGGCAGGTGGATCAGAGACTGGGAGAGGAGCCTACATTTTGCACCACTTCAAAATCTGGCGGCATTTGCCCCACGTTGGGCAAAAGATTCCTGCACTGCCGGGGGCTGGACTAGATGACCCTCGTGGTCCCTTCCAACTCTATGATTCTGCAAAATCTTCTACAAATGACAGAGAGGGCTGTGTCAGTTTTTGTAGAAAGTAGCCTACTGCAAGGGGTGAATTTGGCATTCCTTGTGTGCCCCTCTCTCAGTTTCAGCTCTGCTCACTACCGGCATGTGGCCCCCATGTTCTTGCCCAGAAGCGAATGCAGCCCTCAGCCTAGGAAAAGTCCCCTGCCCCTTAGCTATGCATGCATGTGACTTACTCCCTAGCGCTTCCACTCCTGCAGCCTCCATTTCAAATTTTCGCTTTGTAACTTGATTATAAACTGAGCTCAAACTGCACACACTACAAAGTGTAAAGCGATACTTTTAGCATTTTCTCCTTTCCCCCCCTTATTAGGCAAATAGCTATTTAAAAGCCTAGAGTATCTTATATACGCCCTGTTTTCCTAAAGCCCTTAAACCCAACAACATCTGCCGCAGGGAAAGCTGCAAAACCTCAGGTTGGGAGACTGCTGCTGAGCTAATCTGGGATGTGAAAAACAGCCAGACGTCCTTTTGAATGCACATGCATGATGATTTGTGCTCACGATGCTATCAGAGAGGTCACACGTGATCACGATTTCAACGCCGGATGCACCTGCAAAAGCTTTGGGGCTGATCACGCTGCTTCATTCCCAGTCGGTGCGTATCTTCCTGCTGAAATCCTGTAATTTTTTTTTATACCACAAACGTTCTGTTTCATTTTCTTTGCTTCTTTTGGGTGCACTGTGGCGCTCCTAGACAGCAATAACGGGGCATGATTTGGGGAAGAGACACGGAGCAAACCAAAGCGAGATAAATCCTCCGCTAATGAACTATTCTTGTGTCAAGAACATGCTGCAGAAAACACCCTCAACCGCCAGGCCATTATCTCTAACCAATTTGTTCTAGAGATTGATTGCAACGTGGATGGAAAACAGACGCCAAACTGTCACCCCCAAAAGTGAAAGCAAGAATATGTCACAGATATTTTGGGCAGGCCAATGAGGATGTTAGAAAGGAGAATCCAACCCGTCTTGCGTGAAGTCCCCCTCTTTCAGAATTCTGCCTCCAGGGAGCAGCCAGCGTAAGATCTCTGCCTGCTGTGATTTCCCCCCCTTTCCTAAAACAATTCCAGCCTGAGTTAATAGCTGCTAGATCATTTATCACCGCAGTCCTGCTATGGCCCAGGCTCTGTTTTCTGTTAAATTAAGCAATCTGTGAGGGCTTCAGCAGAAGGGACAGGAAGGTGCGCAGTTATCAAAGAGATGCAAAAGGGAGATTAGAGCTAAAACTGTTCAGGGAGGGATGAAACATGGAAAAGACACGTTTGCTAGCAGAAGTCGCCGGCCCTCTTCCGATCAGGTGCGTAGATCATCGCGTGTGGCAGGCACAGGCAAACGCGGCCCTCTAGATGTTTTGGGACTACAACTCCCATCATCCCTATAGCTAACAGGAACAGTGGGCAGGGCTGATGGGAATTGTAGTCCCAAAAAACATCTGGAGGGCTGAGTTTGCCTGTGTCTGGTGCATGGTATCTGTGCCCCTGCAGGCAAGACTAAAAGGGTGGAACCTCCACTCTGGGTGGCAGTCTACCAGTTGCAGGGAACCACAACCGGGGTTTTCTGCTGAAGTTCTGCTTGCGGGATTCCAACAGGAATCTGGTTGGCCACTGGGAGAACAGAATTCTGGACCAGACGAGCCATTGGCCTCATCCTGCAGGCTCTTCGGGTGTCCTTAATATTATTATTTTTTAAATATTTAATGCTGTACTGTTTTTAACATTTGATTGGGAGCCACCCAGAGTGGCTGGGGAAACTCAGCCAGATGGGCGGGGTATAAATAATAAATTATTATTATTATTATTAAGTGTGCTAATTTATTATTACTGTTGTTAGTTTTATTAAATTTCTTCAGCACCTTTCTAACAAAATCTCAAGGTGTCCCACAAAGAATACACAACGAGAAGTAAAGTAAAAAATGAGAATATAACAGTGGTAACAGTAATATCACTACAAACAGCAAAATCCACATCAGTCTACCAAAAATAAAAATAAAAACCCAATTGTCATGATTGTCAGTGCTGCCTTCACTGGGGTAGATCTTCTCATCCAGACAGCTCAGCTGGTTGAGGGTTCGAGCCTCACGTCGGGTGAAAGATTCCTGCATTGCATGGGGTTGGACTAGATGACTCTGGGAACTCAGTTTCGGCACCTCTCAGATGGGCACCATTGCCATTCTAAGAGAACAAGGTGAGTTCCGGCACCTCTTTTCCTAGAAAAAATAGCACTGAGACGATTCTGTGTCTCCCGGCCTAATTTCACACAGTCCTCAGTTTAGTTTTTAAACCTAGCTACCTCCAAGGGACGCGGGTGGCGCTGTGGGTTAAACCACAGAGCCTAGGACTTGCCGATCAGAAGGTCAGCGGTTCGAATCCCCGCGACAGAGTGAGCTCCCGTTGCTCGGTCCCTGCTCCTGCCAACCTAGCAGTTCGAAAGCACATCCAAGTGCAAGTAGATAAGTAGGTACCGCTCCAGCGGGAAGGTAAACGGCGTTTCTGTGTGCTGCTCTGGATCGCCAGAAGCGGCTTAGTCATGCTGGCCACATGACCTGGAAGCTGTACGCCGGCTCCCTCAGCCAATAAAGCGAGATGAGCGCCGCAACCCCAGAGTCGGCCACGACTGGACCTAATGGTCAGGGGTCCCTTTACCTTTACCTGTAAGTGTGACCACGGCAGTGTTCTGGCAGACAGTGTTTGTAAAAGGGGGTGGACCATCTCCCTTCTGTCACGGGCCCCACAAGATGCTGGGTTCAGCCTGGTCCATGGCTGGCTGGCACGAAGAGAGACCCTCTGGTCTTCCACTCACCCCAAGTCTTCCTCAGCTCCACCTGCGGATGCCAGGGGTGCCTTTGAGAGGCACATAGCAATGTGGTACTTGAGATACCTACTCCATGCTCTCTAGGCATCTAGACATACACAGGCGGGGGGAGGCTGCCCCCAGCAAGGACCAAAATGCTGGAGGCAGGGGCACCAACTTGAATAAAATACTGTGGTATCCCAGGTAAGCCCTGCCCCACATAATTCATCACATAATGTGGTGCACGCACACCATTTGAATGCCAGTCAACTTTGGGGGCCCTGGCCCCCTCAAATATATTATTGGGGGGGCAAAGCCCCCTCGGTCCTTCGGAGTTGGCTCCTATGACTGAAGGTTCCCTGTGGAACGCCCTCCCATCGGATGTCAAAGAGATAAACAACTATATGGCATTTAGAAGACATCTGAAGGCAGCCCTGTTTAGGGAAGTTTTGAATGACTGATGTTTTAATGTATTTTTAATCTTTTGTTTGAAGCTGTCCAGAGTGGATGGGAAATCTAGCCAGAGGGGTATAAATAATAAATTATTATTATTATTCCCTCTGGGCGCACAGAGCGCGCCTTCCGACGGGGCGTTTCCCTCGACGGCCAGGGCCTCTCCAAGGCGCACAGCTCTCCCGTCCGTCCCCCCCCCCGTAGCGTTACTTACGATCATGGGCAGGGAGCAGATGGTGAAGAGGGCGGTCATGAGTGCCAGCAAGACCAGCTGGCCCAGCTCCTCGGTGCGGCCGGCGCCGGGAGGCGCTGTCGACGGGGCGCCGGGGCCACCGCCGCTTCCGTGCGCTCCGGCCGGCTGGCTCCTTCGCGGGGGCTGCCGGCGCGCCATGCGGTAGAGGCTGCGCATGCTGCCCAGGTTGCAGAGTCCGATGGCGAGTCCCAGCGCGCCCAGGAGGCTGGCGTAGAGCACCGAGTAGGCCCGCCCGCCGCCGGCCATGCGGATGAAACACCAGGTGCCCGGGCAGTATTGCACGATGGCACCGAAGCCCAGCAGCGGCAGGGCGCAGAAGAGGGCGCACAGCGCGCCCGCCGCGATGGTTAGCAGCGCGCCCAGGCGCCGGCTGGTGTGGCGCTGGTAAAAGTAGGGGTGTCCCAGCGACAGGCAGCACTCCAGGGCCATGGCTAGTAGCAGCATGGTGGGCGCCAGGCCGAAGAAAGCCATCAGGAAGGCGAACAGCTGGCACAGGCTCCCGGGGCTCGCGTCTCCAGCGCCGGCGGCTGCGTCTTCCCCGACGGCAGTTGCTGGCGGCGGCCAGAGCTCGCTGAGGCTGCGGTTGCGCGCATAGGCGGCCAGGACGATGGGGCTGAGCAGGCACTTGCCCAGCAGGTCGGTGGCGGCCAAGGCGCTGACCAGGAGGTAGAAGGCGGACGCCCTTGGGCGCCCCCAGCCGCCGGCGCGCTGCAGCCGCGCGCGGAGCTGGTGCTGCCACAGGATCCCCAGCGCCAGCACGTTGCCCAGCAGGCCGGCCGCGAAGAGCAGCGAGCCCGGCAGCGCCGACTGGCCGCCCTCCAGGTGCCGGTTGGCGCGGCAGCGGTAAGCGCCGCCGCCGTCCATGGAGCCGGCGGCGGGCGAGAGCGTGCGCCTCGACGGGGCGGGCAGGGCGGGACGCGTGTGGGGCGGCGCGGCGGGGCGAGCCGTGCCTATGAAGGGGCGCGGGGCGGGGAGGGTGGGCAGGAGGGTGGACGGCCTCCCGCAGACGGGGCGGGGGCTAAGAGAAGGAAGCGCTGGCCTCGCCGGGAGGGCGGAGAAGGGGCCGTTTGTTCCCACGGGGAGCCGGGAAGGAATCGCGGCTGTCTGTGGGAAGGGGGCGGGCGGGACAAGCGAAAGGGATGGAGTCCTTTTCTAGACGGCAGGCGGCAAAGGGTGGAGGAAAGGAGAGGGGCTGGGGCACCTCCTCTGCCCCAGAAACCCTAACCTGCAGCGCCGAGAAGGGTAATAGGTTGGGTACAATGGTCCTGCGGAAAGGTTGCCGGCGACAAGGGCGCACTGCACATGCCCAGAGGCACTCTGCCCGTCCTCACTTGCCTCACCACTTCCGTCCGGATTTGCAGCAGTAACTCGGGAAAAGGGATCCACTCCAGGGTGTTTTGGGCGGGGATTTCGCCAGTCCAAGGCGAATAGGATGGCAGTGCGGCAGGACATCTGCTTTGCGTGCAAGGTTCAGTCCCTGGCTGGCAGCATCTCCAGGTAAGGCTGGGGGGATCCCTGTCCAAAACCCCGGAGAGCCGCTGCCATTCAGAGCACGTAACGCGCAGCTAGATAAGGGTCTGACTCAGAATAAGGCAGCTTCCTGGTATGAATTGCCCTCAGGTGACCAGATAGGGAGGCTTTGCAAAAACTGGTTCTTTGGGGGGGAAGGGTCAGAGGTGACCGGGAGAGTATCTGCTTTGAATGCAGGAAGTCCAAAGTTCACCCTCAGGCCTCTCCAGGTAGGATTGAAGGAACCTGACCCTCAGGAAGGTCAGCCCACTGGAAGATGAACTAATAATAATAATAATAATAATAATAATAATAATAATTTATTATCTATACTCTGCCCATCTGGCTGGGTTTCCCCAGCCACTCTGGGCGGCTTCCAACAAAACACTAAAATACAATAACCTATTAAACATTAAAAGCTTCCCTAAACAGGGCTGCCTTCAGATGTCTTCTAAAAGTTTGATAGCTATTTTTCTCTTTGACATCTGGTGAGAGGGCGTTCCACAGGGCGGGCACCACTACCGAGAAGGCCCTCTGCCTGGTTCCCTGTAGCTTTGCTTCTCGCAATGAGGGAACCGCCAGAAGGCCCTCGGCGCTGGGCCTCAGTGTCCGGGCTGAATGATGGGGGTGCAGATGCTCCTTCAGGTATACTGGGCCGAGGCTGTTTAGGGCTTTAAAGGTCAGCACCAACACTTTGAATTGTGCTCAGAAACGTACTGGGAGCCAATGCAGATCTCTCAGGACCGGTGTTATGTGGTCCCGGCGGCCGCTCCCAGTCACCAGTCTAGCTGCCGCGTTCTGGATTAATTGCAGTTTCCGGGTCACCTTCAAAGGTAGCCCCAGGTAGAGCGCATTGCAGTAGTCCAAGCAGGAGATAACCAGAGCATGCACCACTCTGGCCAGACAGTCTGCGGGCAGGGAGGGTCTCATCCTGTGTACCAGATGGAGCTGGTAGACAGCTGCCCTGGACAACAAGAGCCTGACTCTTTACAAGGCATCTTCCTATCTCCCCAGATAAAGTTCCAGCACTTCAGAAGTAGAGGGGAGGAAGGGATGTCCAAGCTTACCTAGGAAGCTGGCCTTTGACAGGAGGGAAGCCACAGCATTGGCAAGACCAGTGAACTTGCAGGTTTTGTTGGCCTTCTAAGCCCTCAACCCCAGTGCCGGATTTATGTATAAGCTAAACAAGCTACAGCCAAAAAATTTAAAGAAAAAAACTGGTTGTACATTTCCAAACTATAAGATAAAAAAACAAATAAAATAAAACCTACATACAGCATCAGTGTTTTGTGTTGTGTATGACGCGGGTGGTGCTAGGGATGCGGGTGGCGCTGTGGGTTAAACCACAGAGCCTAGAACTTGCCAATCAGAAGGTTGGCGGTTCGAATCCCCGTGATGGGGTGAGCTCCCGTTGTTCGGTCCCTGCTCCTGCCAACCTAGCAGTTCGAAAGCACATCAAAGTGAAAGTAGATAAATAGGTACTGCTCTGGCGGGAGGGTAAACGGCGTTTCCGTGCGCTGCTCTGGTTCGCCAGAAGCAGCTTAGTCATGCTGGCCACATGACCCGGAAGCTGTACGCCGGCTCCCTCGGCCAATAAAGTGAGATGAGTCGTCCATGACTGGACCTAACAGTCAGGGGTCCCTTTACCTATGGACCTATTAGGTCCATCAATTACCATATAGCCTATATTCAACACAAAAAACATTGACAATTTGTTGTTGATAAAGGGCAGCTGGACATATAAAGGGCCCCATTACCTTCAGTAGCTTAGGGCCTCATCAAACCTAAATCCGGCCTTGCTCAAAGCCTCTTCCTCTAGTTGCTGTAATATCACTCATGATTATGATGATGAAATAATAACGATCATCACCAGTGCTTTTTTCTGGGGGTATACAGGGGTACGCATACCCCTAAACATTTTGTGAAGCTAAGTCTAGCCTCATTGAGGGGCAGTATTTCAATATGAGTAGGAAAATGAGAGTACCCCTAAACATTTTTAAAAAGAAAACAAAAACACTTTTAATAATAATATGCCACCCATGTGACTGGGTTCCCCCAGCCACTCTGGGCGGCTTCCAACAAATTAAAACAATAGGACATCAAACATTAAAAACTTCAATAGGGCAAACATAAGGTTCTGCACTTAGGAAGAACCAGATGCACACATATAGGATGGGGGACAGCAGTACATGTGAAAAGGGTCTAGGGGTCTTGGAGGACCACAAGCAGAACGTGAGTCCACAGTACGATGAAGCAGCAAAAACAAAGCTAACGCTATTCTAGGCTGCATCGACAGAAGTATAGCGTCCAGGTCAAGGGAAGTAATAGTTCCACTCTGTTCTGCCTTGGTCAGACCACACCTGGAATACTGTGTCCAGTTCTGGGCGTCACAATTTAAGAAGGATGTGGACAAGGTGGAACATGTGCAGAGGAGGGCGACCAAGATGATCAAGGGTCTGGAAACCAAGCCTGATGAGGAACGGTTGAAGGAGCTGGGTATGCTTAGCCTGGAAAAGAGGAGACTGAGAGAGGATAGGTAAAGGTACCCCTGCCCGTACGGGCCAGTCGTGTCCGACTCTAGGGTTGTGCGCCCATCTCACTTAAGAGGCTGGGGGCCAGCGCTGTCCGGAGACACTTCCGGGTCACATGGCCAGCGTGACAAAGCTGCATCTGGCGAGCCAGCACCAGCACAGCACACGGAAATGCCGTTTACCTTCCCGCTAGAAAGCGGTACCTATTTATCTACTTGCACTTTAGGGGTGCTTTCGAACTGCTAGGTGGGCAGGAGCTGGGACCGAAGACGGGAGCTCATCCCGCCGCGGGGATTCGAACCGCCGACCGTGCGATCGGCAAGCCCTAGGCGCTGAGGTTTTACCCACAGCGCCACCCGCATCCCTACTAATACCTCAGAGGCTGTCAGATGGAAGATGGAGCAATCTTGTTTTCTTCTGCTCCAGAATGTAAGACCTTCAAGTTACAAGAAAGGAGATTCCAAAGCTAAACATCAGGATGAACCTTCTGACAGAGCTGTTCAACAGTGGAACGGACTCCCTTGGAAGCTGGTGGACTCTCCTTCTTTGGAGGTGGGTTGAGTAGCCACCTGCCAGGGCTTCTTCAGCTGTGATTCCTGCATTGCAGGGGGTTGGACTAGATGACCCTCAGGGTCCCTTCCAACTCTTCAATTCTTTGAAATCTCTGAAGTTTGGAGCAGTGGTCATCCAGGGTTTCAGGAAGTTCACTGCCATATCTGTCCTGTCCACTGAAGGGATGTTGATTTAAGAATAGAGGGAGCTGCCTTTTATCCCAGTATCACATGAGCCCTGCTCCACAGCATTTGATATTTCCATTCACATACATTCATTCGAGGGACGCGGGTGGTGCTGTGGGTAAAAGCCTCAGTGCCTAGGGCTTGCCAATCGAAAGGTCGGCGGTTCGAATCCCTGCGGCGGGGTGCGCTCCCGTTGCTCGGTCCCTGCTCCTGCCAACCTAGCAGTTCAAAAGCACCTCCGGGTGCAAGTAGATAAATAGGGACCGCTTACTAGCGGGAAGGTAAACGGTGTTTCCGTGTGCGGCTCTGGCTTGCCAGAGCAGTGATGTCACGCTGGCCACATGACCCGGAAGTGTCTCCGGACAGCGCTGGCCCCTGGCCTCTTAAGTGAGATGGGCGCACAACCCTAGAGTCTGCCAAGACTGGCCCGTACGGGCAGGGGTACCTTTACCTTTATATTCATTCAAAATAAGATGGGTTCATGAAACAATTCTATATTCTCCCACCATGCCGACGAAGATCTACGAAACAGCAGTCAGTACCCGGAATCTCTGTTCAGTGTTGGACATTGTTGTTGTTGTTTAGTCGTTTAGTCGTGTCTGCCTCTTCGTGACCCCATGGACCAGAGCACGCCAGGCACTCCTGTCTTCCACCGCCTCCTGCAGTTTGGTCAAACTCGTGCTAGTAGCTTTGAGAACACTGTCCAACCATCTTGTCCTCTGTCGTCCCCTTCTCCTTGTGCCCTCCATCTTTCCCAAGATCAGGGTCTTTTCCAGGGAGCCTTCTCTTCTCATGAGGTGGTCAAAGTCCTGGAGCCTCAGCTTCACGATCTGTCCTTCCAGTGAGTGTTGGACATTATATTTGCTGAAATAATAATAATAATAATAATAATAATAATAATAATAATAATTTATTGTTTATACCCCACCCATCTGGCTGAGTTTCCCCAGCCACTCTGGGCGGCTTCCAATCGAGTGTTAAAAACAATACAAAGCTTCACAGCTTATCTTTCATCGTACAAAGTTTGGTATCTCTCTTCATTTAAAGACTTTCAGAGACTTTGAGCCTAAGATTCCTTTTACTGAATCAGAGCATTGGTCCACCCATCTCAGTATTGTCTGCACTGGCTGCCAGCAGCTTCCAGACAGAGTCTAGCCTCTCCCAACCCTTGCTGGAGATGCTGGGGACTGAACCTGAGACCTTTTGCTTGGAAGGCTTTAACCCCTGAGCTAGCTCTCTCCCCTGTCACACACTGAAAGAAAGGGATCGTGGCTGGTTACTTGTGAGCTGGAAGGAGCTAGCGCCCTCAACCCTTCGTGACCAGAGAGCCATAATATTTGCTCCTGTCCATCCATCATGTTTGTTTTTTCCGCGGAGCTAGGAGCTCAGATGGAAAACAAAGATTACTGACTTCAACAGGGACAGGCTTTGTAGACACTTCGTGACTATAGGAAAATCTGAGCCTTGCTTGCGGAAGCATCGAAAATCGGTCCCCCGTGTGACATTTTTTGGTGACAGGGATATTCCGGCTGTGACCCTGCAGTACTGTGTGTGGTTTGGGAGCTGCACAGTCAGGGGAAAAACAATGCTGTCCAGCATTGTAAAGGCTGCGGAGAGTATAATTGGGTGCACTCTTCCCACCTTGGATCAAATCTACGTTTCCAGGTGTCATAAGAAAGCTGCAGAGATAGCGCAGGATAAATGATGTACAGATGGTATTTGACTCCTGTAAAATTAGCAAAGATATATCATAACTGTGACAATCTATGTTGGAAATGTAAAGAAAAGGAAGGAACCTTTTATCATATGTGGTGGACCTGTCTCAAGGTGAAAGACTTCTGGGAAAAGATTTATAACGAATTGAAAAAAATGTTGAAATATACATTTATAAAGAAACCAGAGGCCTTTCTTCTTAGAATAACAGGTTTGGAATTGCCCAAGAAAGATTTTAAATTATTTGTGTATGCCACAAGTGCTGTGCTTATTCTGTTAGCTAAAAAGTGGAAAACCCAAGAATTACCAACGATAGAAGAATGGCAGATGAAGATGATGGATTTTTCGGAGCTAACCGACCTAACCGGAAGAGTCCGTGACCAGAAAGAGTATCAGGAAGAGTGGATTAAATTTAATGATTACTTAGTTAAATATGTTAAGTTAAATTAACTGAAAACATCTTGCAGATACTTAATTGGCTTAGGAGTTTATTTATGTTAAGTGTTGAATTAATATGTTTAATTTCATAATGTGAAGATCTAAGGATGTTAATGTTTAAGTTAAATTTTATAAGAACTGTGATTTGGAAAACCGTTAAAAGGAGATGCAAGGAAATTCAACCAAGGGGAAGCGAGGAAGTCACTTAACAATGTTAGCAAGTATAATTTTCAATAAGGCTATGATTTATGTTTGTTTGTTTTATGTGTTTGTTTGTTTGTTTGTTTATAATGTTGTGAAAACCAATAAAAAATGTTCAGGGAAAAAATAGATAGTGCAGGATAGTGTGCACTCCGGAAATGATCTCTTTCAGCTTCTGCCTTCTGGAAGAAGGTACAGGGTTATAAAGACTAGGACTAGCCGCCTGAGAAACAGTTTCCATCCAAATGCAATTTTGGTTTTAAACGCAGTGTAAGGTAGTCTCTGTGGGAGTATATTGTATTTAATTATGGGGTATCAGAGTTTTTAGGGGGCTAACCTGGCTGGGATAGCTGGGGTAGCAGGTTTGTTGGTTTCGAATGTTTGATGTAGATTTTTTTCAATTTCGTCGTTCTGTATGGGACAATGACAATAAAGATTATCGTATCGTACTGCCTCCACCTCGATCATTTTGGCAGTTCTTTTCTGAGCTTTTTCCAACTCGACAATAAAATAAACCTAAAAGCGACTCGCCTATCAATCTTCGGTGTGGGGTGAGCATGGACTCCACAAATCCTAAGTCTGCAGGGCAATGCAATAATAAGAATTAGATGTCGGTGCAAATTTCCCTGCCCCCAGATGCTTTAGCTGAGATTTCTACATTGCAGGGGGTGGACTAGATGACTCTTAGGGTTCCTTCCTTCTCTACTATTCTGTGATTCTATGAAGGAACCTCTTCTTCCAAGCAGACCTGCCTCTGTGTTGAGATCTGTGGAGTTGACTTTCCTAGTGGGGCTTCCACCATCTGGCAAATAATATTCAGCACCCCAGGGGAGGGCCTTCTGGGTGGTGGCTCCCCAGTTTTGTAATCCCCCTCTAAGTTACGGTGGGAGGCTGCTTTTAATTACTGTCCTGCTGCTTGTTGAAAAATATTTTTATGTGTCTTATCTTCAGAGATGTATTTTTAAACTGCAGATATTTTAAATGAAATAAATATAAGCATAATGTTTATTACATCCCCTGTATATTGCAAAGGCGGAAAAAAGGCCCAAACAAAAACAACACAATATTGGGTTATATTACCTATAAAAGGCAGATGAAAAGGTTCAAATGACTTTTTTAAAAAAATGACAGAGGCATGGTGAAATGACGTTTTATTCGGGAGAATTTGCCTAAGGGGTTTAATCATTTTGCAATAAGAAACATAAAACCACGAAGGTCTGGAATGGTTGTAAACTGGGCATCGTTGCAACGAATCCATTATTGAAATCTAGGAAAGGAATAGATTTCGCTAAGTCTTAGATTTTGGATGTCCCGGTTAGCTTTACTTATCCCTATATGATCTGTGAGCCAAGTTCCACAGCTGTTTGAGGAGCTGTTAGCTAAGCATTGATTGATATTTTTATTTATTTGAGGGATGTTTATATGGCCTTTCAACCGCAGTTTTCAGGGCACTTGACAGATGAAATGATTTTTGAAACATCAAGGCCCAAAAGAAAACAAAACTTCAAAAGCAGCATTAACAGTGAGTGATGGGGCCTTTTAAAAGCTGGAGAGAGGAAGACAGTATGAAAAAAGATCTTTGTCCAGTGCGGAAAAGAGAATCGTGCAAATGTGTCAGGGCCCTTTCACACTTCATTTTATGGTGCATTCATCATGATCTGTGCTCATGATCCTGCTTCCTGCAAAGATTTTGAAGAGAAGAAGAAGAGCTTGGATTTGATATCCGCTTTATCACTACCCGAAGGAGTCTCAAAGCGGCTAACCTTCTCCTTTCCCTTCCTCCCCCCCAACAAACACTCTGTGAGGTGAGTGGGGCTGAGAGACTTCAGAGAAGTGTGACTGGCCCAAGGTCACCATGTGGAGGAGCGGAGACGCGAACCTGGTTCCCCAGATTACGAGTCCACCGCTCTTAACCACTGCACCAAACTGGCTCTCATTTGGTGTTCTCCTTTCCCTTCCTCCCCCACAACAAACACTCTGTGAGGTGAGTGGGGCTGAGAGACTTCAGAGAAGTGTGACTGGCCCAAGGTCACCCAGCAGCTGCATGTGGAGGAGCGGGGAAGCGAACCCGGTTCACCAGATTACGAGTCCACCGCTCTTAACCACTACACCACACTGGCTCATATTGCTTATACAGAGGTACTTCGGGTTACATACGCTTCAGGTTACAGCCTCCGCTAACCCAGAAATAGTGCTTCAGGTTAAGAACTTTGCTTCAGGATGAGAACAGAAATCGGCCTCCGGCGGTGCGGTGGCAGCAGGAGGCCCCATTAGCTAAAGTGGTGCTTCAGGTTAAGAACAGTTTCAAGTTAAGAATGGACCTCCGCAACGAATTAAGTATGTAACCAGAGGTACCACTGTCATTCTGAATCTCTGCCTGTTCATAGCTTCCTGCTGAAATCCTGTGAATTTTTATACGCCAGATGTTCTGGGGTGGGCTTTCATGTCCTGCTTTTTCATGCAATAATAATAATAATAATAATAATAATAATAATAATAATAATAATAATTTATTTATACCCTGCCCATCTGGCTGGGTTTCCCCAGCCACTCTGGGCGGCTCTCAATCGAATATTAAAAACACAATAAAGCATTAAACATCAAAAACTTCCCTAAACAGGGCTGCCTTCAGATGTCTTTTAAAGAGAGGATAGCTGCTTATTTCCTTCACATCTGAAGGAAGGGTGTTCCACAGGGCGGGTGCCACCACCGAGAAGGCCTTCTGCCTGGTTCCTTGTAACCTCACTTCTCGCAGGGAGGGAACTGCCAGAAGACCCTCTCGGAGCTGGACCTCAGTGTCCGGGCAGAACAATGGGGGTGGAGACGCTCCTTCAGGTATACTGGGCCGAGGCCGTTTAGGGCTTTAAAGGTCAGCACCAACACTTTGATTTGTGCTCGGAAACGTACTGGGAGCTATGGGGCAAGAGAGTCTCTCCAGACACCAGCAATGCAGTAACACTGGGAAAGCACTCCAGAACAACTAACGATGTGGAATGATGTCTGGACGATCCAGTATAAATCCACTGCTGTTACTGTTAATATGTTGCAGAATACACCCACCAAAAATAACCCCCAACTAGTCTCAAGAGTCCCTCAGTCCTTGCACAATCATTTACAGGACGCTCGGGTTGTGATTCAGCATTTGCAACCCACATCTGCGCACATGAGGGTTGCGATTTGGAGCTTCTGTGCATGCGCAAAGCGCTACTTAGCGCTATTTAACCTGAAAAAAACACAACCCGAAGCGGCTGTAACCCAAGGTATGACTGTATTGGGGATAATTGTGGATTGGATCGAGAAAGTGACAGGTTTATGGATTAATTTCTGCATTATTTACTTGCAAGAAACCTGGTTAAACAGATAATCCTTTGCGATTTTACCATCTTCTCTAGGCTTAATTCAAGAGATCAGAGACCAGTCTCTTGCTCTCCATCTAGCCTGAGCGATCCAGGCACGGTACTTCAGCCAAGTTTCTGAACCCACAAGGATAGTTTCTGTCTGGCAGGAAGATTGAAAAAGTCCTGGTGTCAATTTCCACCAGCGGAAACCATCTTCCCCTGCCCACAAGGGCGTTTGCCATGTCCCTAAATCCTGGAAAGATGTTGCAATGGTTACCTGGCATGTGCTCTGGTTGGCTGAAAAGTACCAGCTGTCACTCTCACCAACATGGGTGGGCTGTGGGCTGGCAGTTTTTTGTCCTCACCAAAGATAAGAAAACCAGCAACTATCTGTGCTGTGTTGCTCCAGAGGAGACCAGAAGCCTGTTGGTAAGTAATGAAGTGGCGTTAGATAGATTTGAACTAACAGGTGTCTTTTATTTTCCATCCCTTGCTTCGTCTATCTGCCTCCCCTCTTCCTTTTTCTTCTCATATATACATTAAAAATGGAAGGCTGTCGTCACATAGCCTGCATTGATGGATTTGAAAGGCCAGATCATAATCACAGGCTTACGATTTTAACATGTTCATATATGATTTTTGGTACCGTTGTTGTGAGCTGATTTGATATTTTCCTTAATGAGTGAGCTGCATAGAAACATGGCTATGAATAATAATACTAATAGTTGTTGTTGTTTAGTCGTTTAGTCGTATCCGACTCTTTGTGACCCCATGGACCAGAGCACGCCAGGAACTCCTGTCTTCCACAGCCTCCTGCAGTTTGGTCAAACTCATGCTGGTAGCTTCAAGAACACTGTCCCACCATCTCGTCCTCTGTCGTCCCCTTCTCCTTGTGCCCTCCATCTTTCCCAACATCAGGGTCTTTTCCATGGAGTCTTCTCTTCTCATGAGGTGGCCAGAGTCTTGTAGCCTCAGCTTCAGGATCTGTCCTTCCAGTGAGCACTCAGGGCTGATTTCCTTCAGAATGGAGAGGTTTGATCTTCTTGCAGTCCATGGGACTCTCCAGAGTCTCCTCCAGCACCATAATTCAAAAGCATCCATTCTTTGGCGATCAGCCTTCTTTATGGTCCAGCTCTCACTTCCATACATCACTACTGGGAAAACCATAGCTTTCACTATACGGACCTTTTTTCCTGCTTTTGGCAGTATCCCTGCCAAGAAAACTCCATGGACAAAGACAATAATACTAGTACTACTAATAATACCACGACTTGCTTCACAGGCGGTCAAACAACCAATGACTTGTTCTCCAAAATAAATTAAAAAATTGTCATGTAGCACCTTGGAGACCAACTAAGTTTGTTCTGGGTATAAGCTTTCGTGTGCATGCACACTTGTTCAGACACACTGAAACAGAAGTCACCAGACCCTTATACATAGTGGGAGGGTGGGGTGGGGTTTTTCTCAGTAGGGTAGCAGGAGATGGGTGATTGACTCAGTGGGTATGGTAAACCTGTTGACAACTGTTAATGACTGCAATTGGTCCTACAGGAAAAAGCAGATGTATGCAGATGACCAAAAATAGCTTTAGCATGCTAGAGGTTTACCATAACCACTGAGTCAATTACCCATCTTCTACTACCCTCCTGAGAAAACCCCCACCCCACCCTCCCACTATATATAAGGGTCTGGTGAGTTCTGATTCAGTGTATCTGAAGAAGTGTACATGCACACGAAAGCTTATACCAGGGGTTGGCATGGTTTACCTCGCCTGGGCCGGTTCACTCCAGCGGAGACCCCTCTGTGGGCCAGAACGTGAGCGCATGTGTCTGCGATTTCCGGCATCTGCATCTGCACAGATGTGATTTCCAGTGTCTGCGCATGCGCAGATGTGATTTTCGGCGCCGCAGAAGCGAGTCCCTGCTCAGCGCTGTGCCAGATATAGCACAGTGCGCGAGGGCTTGCCAAGTGGGCACCTTGGTTTGTGGGCAGTTTGTGGGCCGGTTAAACGACCCCCGTGGGTTGCTTGCGGCCCATGGGCCTTAGGTTGCAGGCCCCTGGTTTATACCCAGAACATACTTAGTTGGTCTCTAGGGGACACGGGTGGCGCTGTGGTCTAAACCACAGAGC